TTCGATCACATTCAATTTAAATGAGGGTTCATTTACTATTATAAATCATTTGGTAAGCTTCAATTAAATTAGTTTTAGAGTTACCGTTGGGAAGGACGGAGAGAAGAAAATTTGCTCATATTCAAAGGCATTTTATAGAATTCTATTTAAGAATATAGACAAATACAATCACTAAATATCCATAAAAATTCTCATTACCAAAGTTCTCGCATATAATAATGTAGATTCAATCTAATCGTATAATTACATAATAATGAAATCTAATTAACATTGTATACATATATTATTGCAATAATGAATGTCATGAACAAATATATTGGAGGCGGCATTTGAAATTTTGTTCACAAGTTAAAAAAAATGTTTTTTTTTTATTTAAGTAAATTTCACTTGAACAATTTTTTTTATTTATTTACATTTCGCAATAAGAATTTGTAATAAAATAATTAAACAAAAAAATTTTATTGAAGCAAAAAAAAAAAATTATTTTAGTTTTTTTTTAAAATTTAAGATGATTCACAATTAAATATGAATATTTATTTGAAAAAAAAAAAAAAAGAAAAAAACAAGTGAATATTTCTTATTTCGGATACTTAATGATTAAATTTGAAGGCGTTCATGAATTTCCATTTGAAGAAATGAAAAACAACAAATAGAACAAAACAGAAACAGAAAGATTCATAATAAAAACCCCCAACACGTTTTCAATTTTTCTTTTTTCTTCCAGATCATTACTATTTAGTAATGTTATGTAACGAAAAGTGTCAATTAAAAAAAAACAAAACAAAATATTAAATTAAAATTTTCCAAAATAAATAAATTATTACTTTTATATTTCATTTAATATAAATTATTACTTATTAATGTCCTCGCTTAAATCTTAATTGTTATACAAAACACGTTCTGTACACATATACTCGTATATTATATGCTTACATAATTAGGAATCAAAAAACAATTTTTAATACAGTACAGTTTTTAAATATTTGCAATTTTTCCGATTGTAATTAAAGTTTTTCTCTTTTTCGTATATAAATTTGCAGAATATAACAATATTGAAATATTTACTTGGTTTTTGATTTGTTATATTTAACAAACACAGTTTATAATAACTACTGCGAAAATATTATTACCATTATAATTAACAAATCAATTGCTTGGATAAACTGTTATACAAATTATCATACAAAAAAATCATGATTTATACGCATAAAATCCGGCTGTCCGGATTCCCAAATAAAATTGCCATCATTTATTAAGGAAGACAAAGGAAGATTGTAAAAAACTAAGTCACTGATTATACTCAGTGTCATTCTATATTTATTATTGTTAATGTCATATTGAGTATATAAGAATAGGACAATTTTACTTTTGAAAACTAAAAATAATTGCAGAAAATGTAAAAACATGAAGTAATTAAAATTTTTATAAAATTGCCTCATTCAATGAGAATTATAGACAATTTCCTCCTATTGGGACAAAATAATTTTTTTGTTGTCTATCTTTTGGCAAAATTCATAATGGCAAGCAAAAAAAAAAAAGTACCTTTTTTTTACTGCCATCATAAATTTTTGATTTTAAGCAATAATACAAGTATATTTATAAATAATTAAGTATATAAACAAATAAACAATCATTATGTGATTTAGAGAGTCTTACATATTCTTGTTATCTCCGGAATAAAGACGAAAATATCTTTACTATTTGCAATAGTTTGGATTCTCATTGAGTAAATTAATGAATATTCTTTCTAATTTTAATTGAGGTAGATGTTCAGAATTTTCTTTCCATATTTTTTACTCTCAATCTAATAAAAAACTACTTGAATAGTCAGACAATTTGTGCAGTGGTTATGACACCGGCCCTTTAAATTATACTTATAAATATTAATAATACTTATAAATATTAATATACAAGTAATTTTCATATATTCATAATATTCGATATTAAAAAAACTAAGAAAAATATTATGAAGAAACAACTACGGCAGGCTAGTCACACATACTTAATTTCAATACTGGGGCATGACTATCTATAATATGATGCGCTAACCCTACGCTCTTCCTAGGAGTAAAGAAGGGAAAAAAAACTCAAGAAATTGAAATTAAATATTAAAATTAAAACCGAGTTTTTGTATTTCTTGTACACGGAATTGTTGCTCTTTTAGAAAACAAAACAACTTGAATAATTTAATTAAATTCCACTGTATTTTCCGAAAAAAAAAAAAATTGATATTTTTAAAATTGTCATATCATAAAAAAATATTTTTATTAATAAAATTCTTAACATTTTAAAATTCTTAAATAATAAATTATTGAGTAAATGAGTTTTCACCAATTTCGGAATGAACGTGTACCATAACATATATATACACACTAATAAATATATATACATTGTACAGGTGGAAATCTTTCATGTCAAATTAATATTAATCAATAATAAAATTTAAAATTCTAAAAATAAATCAATCACATATATATTATATGTATGTATATGTTCGCTAGTTATTTAAAGATCTTGTATCGAACAATAAAATTGAAATTTCGATATTCTAAATAGAATTAAAATATTGTTTTTTTTTTTCTCTTTATTATTATAACTAAATAATTTAAAAAAAAAATATCTATTACAATATTTTTGTGTCCCTGTCCGGTATGAGCCGCGTAGGTGGTAAATAAAATTTATATATATATATATATATATACATACATATAGTTTGAAATTAAGGCTTTGTTACGAGAACAACATTTTTGTTTTTTATTGATGAGAAAACAAATTAATAATTACGTTTTAGAAATGTAATTTTTTTTTTTTGTTAATCCAATGAAGAATTTATTAGACAACAACTTAGGCAAATTATTGGACAAATTATGAGTTGAGAAATTTCTATAATTAAGTTGAAGGAGAAAAAATATCAAAATATTTTGTAATTTTTTTTTAAAATATTTTTTTTTACGAAATTTTCCTTCGAGCAATACCGCTTAGTTTAAACCATAGTTTTGTAATTGAATCGGCGTCTTCTAGAAAAAAATTCTAGAAAATTGCATTGAAGACCAATAAAAACAAATTATTATTTACCAAAAAATATTACATCATGTAATGTTATCTGTAAATTTTATTCAATACTTTACAGAAAAAAATTTAAGAATTGATTACCAATAAACAACATCACGTTCTAGATTTCTAAATTGATTGCGCAAAATAATTCAATTTTTTTTTTTTTTAATTTATACTTTTATAAGTTGAAATTCAGGTCACCTTATACCAAATATGGAATTTGACAATTAATTTTCTTAATAGTGTATCCACTAAGTAATTTACAATAACAAGATGAAGAAAAAAAAAAGAACAAAATTACATAAACAAAAGCTTAACTTAAAACAAATTGTTGTAAAATCATTGGGTGGTGGACAACACCTTAAATTAAGATAAAAAAAAAATTTAAGGTTCTATAAGTAATTGTGTAATTTAATCGTAAATTTTATATAGAACTTTTTTTCTTACATAAGAAGTTTTTTTTTTTCAATACTTACTATACTGTTGTACTTTTGTTTTTTTTTTTTAATTTAAAGATTAGAACAATAAAACTAAAGATTTTCCAACAATTGAACAATGTAAGCTTTTATATATCTTATACAAAAAATAGTAAAAATTGTAAGTGTATCATGAGATAAAAGCTGAGAAAAGCAGAAAAATTAATTAAAAAAATCGCTTATATAAACAATTTTTTTGATTTCAATTTCTATTTTCGTTTAGCAGCAAAAACTAATCAAGTATGAACACGTCTCAAACAAACATGTCTATTACACAACTCATCACTCAGAGTTTTTAATGTAAATTTTTTTCTTCTTTGTATACGAGATTTCAACATAGATCACCTTTCTGCTAGAATTTAGATCACATCTTACATAATTTTAATGTGAACTTCCGTTCTGCACGCATCGTTTTTCCTTATTAAAATAGTTCTAGTTCATACAATACTAAATTTCATAAGTATTGTTCTTGTATATATAGACTCATATTGCGAAATAGACCCACTCTCAAGCCTTTTGAATACCTATAAATCTACATTTAATAACTTTAATATACAAGACTATAAGACTTTAGAATTTGTCTGGTCAAACTTGCTTATTGGAATACTTTTCAAAACGACACTACCTCACTCACCCATATTTGAATCATTAAACAACCTTTAAAGCTTTTAAAAGGCAAAGTTAAACGTATAAGTACAGTTTTCATATCGTATTCAAAGACGGCATTCTTTTTAAAAGCAAACATTTAAGAATAATAAGTAAATATTAAGTGTAATTTAAAAACAGCAAAATTGGCTATAATAATTCAAGCTTCTCATTTCAAATATAATTGAAAGATAATATATAAAATTTTTAAAACTTTATTTTATATAAAAATTCTTTTATTGAAAAAAAAAACAAACAAAAAGAATTTATAAATAAAATCAACAAAAATGTAAATTAAATCAATTGTGCAACCAACCCCCATTTATAATGAACTCTCCCCCTCCCCCTCATATTTTAGTAATGTTAAATAAATTAGTACATATTATATGTGTGTATGTATATATAATACGAATAACTACGGTATAAATACTAAAAAAATAATTTTATAATTATTTTCAATTTTGTATTTTTAATTAACAACATTCTGTAATAAAATTCTTAAATAAATTTTATATAAAAAAAATTTTTTTTTGAACATAAATTAAATAAATAATTTTAATAAATACAAATGTAAATATATATATATATATATATATATATATATATATATATAAAATGTCAGTACAAAAACTACATGTTAAGCGCATTTATTAAATTTAATGTTAATTAAAAGTTAATTAAAGCCATTAATTGTAAAGATTAGCAAAAAAAAAACATTTTCATCATTTTATTGATTTTTTAAATGATTTTCGGATTTTGTTTCCTTTCTCCACAAAATTCATAATATAAATGAAGCAAATTTTATTTTAAATAATATCTGATCACCTTTCTTTCTTTTGTTGTTGTTGTTTCTTCTGCAGTACTTTCATCATTCATCGATAAATTTGCTAAAATATCTTCTTCAATTAAATCGATTGCCGAATTCTTTCGTAAATCCAATGAATCAATAGAGAAACGCTTCCCATCACTATTGCTATTATGAAATTCACGAAAAATATCATCTGCATCTTCTAATATACTATTTTGAAAACGTCGTCTATCATGATCTGTATTTTCAAGAATACGTACATGTCTTGTTAAATTTTCTTTTGTTAATGAACTACGTGATGTATCACCACCACTTGTATCTGAATCTAAATTATCGAATGCTGTTGGTGAAATACTTTTACGTAATATTGAATGAGTTTTTTTTGGAGTTTTTGCTGTTGGTGTCGTTGATGTTGTTTTTGTTGTTGTTGTTGTTGTAGTTGTTCTATATTTTGTTGGTATTGAATTATGTAATTTAGTCCATGTATTTACATAATCTCTTGGTTCCGATGTTAATGATGTTTTTCTTGTTAATAAATTACCGGTACTAACAAAACGTTTTGTATCTTTAATACCATTTTTACGTGGTAATGTTGCAAATTGTGTTGAACTACCGGAATCATAACCGATTGAACTGCGACGACGTGGTAAACTGCCATATGTTGAATCATAACTAGTTGAACCACGTCTTGCTGCTGTTGATGATGGTGGTACACTACCGGCACGTGATCCATTATAATATGTAGAATCAGTACGATCAAAACTATTTCTTTTACTGCTTGGTATACTTCTTAAACTGATGGCACTATCACGACGATTATTTAAATTACTGTTAACGCTACCAAAATTTGGATATTTTGTTGTTGATTTTAATTTTGTTGTAGAACCATTTAATGAATCATTTTTTAATGAATTAACACTTGATCGGCGTGTATAACCGTAATTATCATCATTATTTGGATTATCTCGCATTGCAGCTGCTGTTGCTTCAATTACTTCTGCTGCTACTTGACTAGCAATTGATTCTTTTTGACGTGGTGGTAATGGTGTCGCATTACTTGATCGTAATAAAGATGGAAAAGCTGATGGATGTTCAATATTTTTTCCAAAATCTGAATTCCATACATTTCGTTTTCTTTTTTCATTAAATATGAAACGATTTTGGTGTTTATAAATTTTCGATTCGATTGTTTTTTTTTGTTTTTTTTTATTCAAATTTATTTTTGCGTATATTGTATGATGACATATATAGAATAAAATTAGAATAAAATAAGAAGATTTTGTCAGTAAAAGTTGGCAAATATTAAATCAATTTCGAATAAATGTTAATAGATTTTTGTTTTCTATTAAAATTTTGTTCAAACAAAAAGAGTATATTTTTATTTTATTATATATATATAAGTTAGAAACCAGATTTCAGATTATTATTAATTCTTAGTCAATAACTTAGGAATTTGTATTGAAAATTCAAATTTATATACGATATTGAATAGAATTTTATTTAATTTGCAAAATTTAATTTCCCATTTGTAATTTTGGATTTTAGATTTCAATATTATAATTTTTTTCATAATTTAGTTTAAATACAAACTTAAATTGCCGGTATAACAGTATGTCTTTTTTTCTATTATTAAAAATATGCTAATTTTCTTTGCATTATGCAATTTTACATTAAAAATTATGAATTTCATAACAAGTTGTATGAAATTATTTTTCAAACAAACAAATTGTTTTTCAGTATGACAGCGAATTCAATTGTGTTCCCTCAACAAATTAATTCAATTTTTGTAGACGCTTCATTTTAAACAAATGAATTTATTATTATTTTTTTCGCAAAATTTTATTTAAAATTTCAACATTATCTCGATTTCAATTTTTCACAAATATATTTTGCATAGAATATTGAAAATAATACAGGTATAACGAGAAAATAAAATATATTCACATATATCTATATATACCATACAGTGTTTTATATTACAAAACATTTTAGCACCTTATTTAGGTGATCAAATTTAGCGCATACTCGCTAAAATGAAAAACAATCATAAAGGTATAAATAATAAAAAGCCTTGCAAAATTTAAAAGGAAATTTAAATATGATCGCAAAAAAAAAAAGAAGAAAAAAGAAATATTTAACTATAAAATTGTAGTAATGTTTTTGTTTTAAACAAGGTTGATGCCTACTATAGAATTAAAAAAATTAAATTGAAATATAAAAGATTTCAATGCTTTAAATAAATTTTAAAGTTCTCCCCTCAGTATCGTATACAATTTCAGTTTTGTTTTTTAATTTATTAATGTGCAATTTCTGGTTTCTTCTTATAAAGGGAATGGGAATTTTTTCATTTTTATTAATATTTTTTTTTTTTGTTTTTTAATTTATTCGCTTCTATTCTTATTTTTTTTAACTTGAATTTTTTCATAATAACAAACATTATATTAATGTATAAGAAAAAAAAAAAAACATAAAAATCTTTGGTATATAAACCTGTATTTTTCACCAGTAATCGCTTCCAATGTATCATGTAATTGTTTCTTTTGCTTATCACGATGATAACTTTCGGAAAATGATTGACGTTGTTGTAAATCTTTAATAAAATTTTCTGCTGCTTTATTATCATCATCACTACTATATAATAATGGTGAAGGACCACCAACACCACTTATATTGGATTGTGTAGTACCAGTTCCTGTTATATTTGTCATTTTTTTATTATTAATAATATCATTATAATTAGTATTTGTATTTGTATTATTATTATTATTATTTGTTGTATTTAAATTACCATATATATTATTATTATTGTTGTTGTTGTTGTTATATGAGCTGGTATTTGAATTACGACGATTATTTAAATAATTATTTGTATAATTGTTGTTTGGATTTGTTGAATGTAAATGAGAATGTTGGGGATGTTGATGTTGTTGGGATGCTGTTAATCCACGATGTACATTACATTTTTTATTAATTAATTCAATATCAACATATTTTGGTGGTTCAGCGGATGATGAACGTCGTTTTGCATCAGCAAATAATTCATTTATTCGCCTTACATGGTCATTATGTGTATCGCGTACCATTTTTGAATTTTTTTTTTTTTTTTAATTTTTTTTTTTACAAAATGATAATATTATACGAGAATCGTGACTAACATACGATTTTTTGTTTTTATTTATTTTTTTGCTATATTATTTTTCTTTAAACGTGTATTTTATGCCATATATAAGAAAACAAACATATATATACAAATATATATATCTTTTTTTTTTTTTTTTTTGGAAAAACAAAAAAAATTACTTTTTTAGGTTATGATTTTGCTTATATTTAAAGCATGTAGATTTTTTTTATACACACGTAAATTTTATATTTCTCTCTTTAAATATAACCTTATTTTAATTTTTGCAAATTCAATATTGAAACAAAAAGGGAAATTTTTCTGAATTTGGTACTTTCTTTACTTTTATGGTATTTTTTAATTTTTACTTTTAGAATTTTTTTCTCTTTAATTTCAATTTAAAATTCACTTTTCTTTATTTAAAATTAAAATTTTCAAAAAGGAAATTTTTTTAATTTTTTTAATTCATTAATAATTTTTTTAATAATTTTTTGTAATTCCTTCACTATATATTTTTAAATATCGAAAAAATTTGAATAGAATTTCAAATTTTGCAAATATTTTTCAAAAAAAAAAAAAGCATTCAATATTTTTCTATTTTTTTTTTCCCTTGTTTTAAGCACCGAACAGTTACCAGCCAGATTTAAGACTGACTGAACAAGAATTTTGATTGAATAATTTAAATTGTATGAAGTTTTTTATTTTTTTGTTTTTTTTTTTTTTTCCTTTTTTTTTTTTAGTGTGGTTTTTCTCATTTTGTTCTTTTGAGTTTTGATTTGCTTATTTAATTCTCTTTTCTCAGTATTATAGTATTATTAAGTCAAGTTAAGAAAATAAATAAATTACAAAATAAAAATAAAAAAAAAAAAATAGAAAAATTAAATAAAAAGCTCACACTTTAGTTTTTTTTTTTTTTGTATTTTTGTATCGGGGGAGAAACTTTATTAAAACATGTAAAAATTATTTTTTGACTAATCATTGTTCTAAAATATTTGCCATATGATGGAAAAAATCTTTAATGAGCTCATTTAACTAAAGATTTAATGGAACATAAAATTTATTATTTTGATCTCGATGTAAAATTTTTATGCTATTAAAATCTCGATGTAAATAGATCGTATAGATTGTTGATTATTGAAGAGATATAAGATCAAAGGAAGAACTCCATTTCGATCACTCCAGCCAAACATGGCTCATTGTAGTCTTCCCAAATCTCACTTATGCTTCACCAAAGAGTTGAACATTAGCTCACAAATATTGACAAAGCCCCGTCCAAATCATATTTACCTCCTGGCGGCCAGAGCAGAACAGTCATACAGAATATGTATGATCGTCTTCTCATCGTTCCGGCAGAATCTACACAAATGGGAGTCCGATTTGAATTGTTTGTGACAATTTTGTTATGACGTCATATTAAATTGCAGTAACTTAAAAAAACAATATTATGTAAATAAATGCTAGAACGGGTTTTATTTCAAGAATTTTTTTTTTTTGAATTGTTCCTTTATTCATTTAGTATTGTCCTTCTATATTATGCTGTTATAAAACGAATTCACAAGTTAAAATTATTCTATTTTCCTCTATTTAACATCTCTTCTGATCTCTTTTTTTTCTCAACATTTTGAGTTCTTTTAAACCATAAAATCTTTTTGATCTTATATGGCAACACTTTATTTTCAATCATACGTGTATGCACTAATATTATTTGTAGATATACATCTAAATTTATACTTAAACTATTATGTATATAAAATTATATTGTACAGTCATAATAACAAGTGGTATTGTTATAGTATTTAACCTTTTTGTTTTTTGCTATTTTGTTAAAAACAACTTTATGTATTTGAAACCAACGCCAAAGTTTAAATATAAACACTCAATTATATACTCACATAATATAGAGACAGATATATACAAAAGAAAAAGATCATATAATTTTAACAACAACGGTGCTAATCGATGATGATTAATCTAAAAATTCGTCGTCATTTTTGAAGCGGTGGATTAAGTAAATTATTTTTAATTTGTTTATTTTCATTATTATATTTAATTTATTATTCACTTACTTAGATTTTATTATACATATATGAATTTGGTGTTATTTGATACCCGGTCGAATATAATTGGGTTTTATGAAATATTATAAATTTATTTTTCCATTTGTAATGGCTATTAAAATCATTTGCATGAGATGTATACTTTCAAGTTTCTACATGCTTATGTATATATGTATGTATATGAACGCCAAACTAGTTTTACTTAAGATATAGTTATCGTGATGTAGTAGTAAGTTTTACGCTGCTTTCCTTAATTATAAAAATCTTATGATTGACAGAATTACCTATACAGTTTTTCATGTTTAAATCCGAAAGGGTATAGATAAAAGTATGAACAGCTATGGGTAAACAAAATTTATAATTAATTTTCATTTGTATGTTTTTAAAAATCGGGAATTATGATGTAAAATAATTTTTGATCTTTTTTGTATACACACATGCATACATTAAATTGAACACAATATAATAATCATAATAAAAGATATCCATATATGTATGTACATAGTATGTAAGGACGTGAGGTGTGAAATAGTATTATTTAATATTGAAATGTATTTGGATAATAGTAAACAATTATTAGTGTTAGATAGTAATCATTTTCTTGTTGATTCCAATTAAATTAAAATTTAATTTAATTAAGAATTTTTACTTACATTATTAATTATAGTGTACAATATGCTATTACGAAAACATATTTTATCTGTAAGATTACAAAAATAATATAGAAATTTCAAAATTACATTATTATACGTTCAATCCAATCTTTGAGTTCAATTGTTAACGAAATAGAAATATCAATCATTCACAATATAAATAAACAAAATAAATATTTACTTAATAAATGAGAAAATTTTTTCAAAAAAAAACAAAAAAAACGCTTTCTTTAAGCACACATACATATATGTACGTAATTGTTTATTGAAATTTGTGAAGTCATTATATATTGAAATTTTACATTCCATTTAGAATGCTCATTGGTATATAATGAGAAGTTATGCATTTTTATAGTACAAATTGAATTATTAGTAAAGGACCGGTAAGCATTACTCCTGCAAATACGGCTGGAGTTTAAAAATTTTAATAATTTATAAAGTTTTAATATTGCCTTCAAATTTAGAAGCAGCATTAAATTTTAAAAGTAAATTTAAGAAATGAAATTCGAAAATGAGACTGACCGCTTTTGGGAGGGGGCGGCTTGTATTTAACTTATTTTTTATAAAAATTTGACTATTTATTTAATTTAGAAACTAATGGTTATACTAAGTAAATTCTTATTTAATCCTCATAAGAGCGTTCTTAGAAATTGTTCTCCAAAAATTTTTATTAAATATTTATTATTATTTAACTTTCAGCTAATCAAGATTACATCAAAAAAGAATACTATTATAGTTGTTTATTTTAACCACTTAATGCTAGGGTTTTTCTGTGAAATGAGGTAAAAAAAAAGCAGGTTTTTTTTGTTTTTATTATTAATATTGATAAAGTATAAATCATAACATAAAAAAATTAAAAATTGAACTTTGTGTGATAAGTCTTAAAACAAGGTGTTAAACATAAACCCACGTTGCAGTCAGGGCAATAATACCGACTTTCATGCCGAATTTTCTTCCCCATCTCATTCTGTTTACTACAGCAGGCGACACATCTTTTTGTTAGAGCCGATTTTTTTTCAGTACTTGGAATTGGTTCCAAGAAGTGCCGTTCTGTCAATCTTAATGGATTGCTCTTACTAAATAAAGGACACGTCTGATTGTGTTTATTTATGTTTGCTTTGTGATACGCATGCGGGTACATCCCAGTAGCGTACGCACTAAATTCGCATGAGCATACAATAAATATACACTAAGCTCTATGAAATATAAACTTGCGAGGAGATATCGCTCCAGATAAAACTATAAATATAATATTTATAAGTGGCGAGAGGTACTCGGGGTAGCGCAAATCGGAACACATTTGATGCGCGAGAGGGTCTCGTTCGAGATGCTTAAGTGGTGTCAAAATAATTTTTAAGAATTTAAAATGATGACTTTTTTCTAAAAAAAATTCAATATGCCTAGAATGATCTCAAAACATTATTCAATTAAAATACTTAATAAATATTTCATTATTTCTCGTTAATACTCGCGTGTATTCAATATGATTTTCTTTAACTATGGACTGAGCAAAAATATCGGAATTTCTTTAACACCCACATTTTTAAAATAATTTTTTTTTTTAAATTTAAATTAAATACAATTTCAATATTGTTTCGATTAAATTTTCTTTAAATATTGATCAATATAGCTCACATAATTTTAGTTAAAAAAAAAATATAAATAAATAAAAATAAATTTAATTTTTACATAGAAAAAATTGAGGCAAAAGCAAAATGTACTAAAAAATGAACTTAATAGAAATACTTATATAATTAATTTATATATATATATATATATATATATATATACTCATATATATATAATAATCTACATGTATGTATAGGTATATATAAAATATAAGAATAAAATTCTTGTTCTTTAGCGTTTTTTCTATTTATGGTAAAAGAATGACGAGAGCAAGTTCTTGTTTTTATATTTACTTAATTTTATTTTTTTATATAAAATTTCTTCATACTTTATATATTCGTATGTATGTACATATATATAGTTACTATAAATTTAATTTTTGTTTTTTTAGTTAATTTATGTTGATTTTATTGTTACATTACCATTTATTTCTTGCTTAGTCAATTTATATATGTTTATGTACCTAATTTATGAATCAGTGATCTTAATTTAATATATGTATCCTATAATATGTGATATGATAGAGCACATATTTATATAGATGTATATATATATAATAAACAACGTATTGCACAAACTATAAGTTTTGAATGCTCCCATTTATTGTTTATTCGTGCTCTATAGAAACCCCTTTTATGAATGATTATTTTTTTTTAATATGGTAATGGTCTGGAAAAGGTTTGTAAAATTATGGACCTGGGAATTTATTTTGACTCTAAATTATCGTTTTTTGAGCCACTATAATTACATATATATTAAGGCAAACTTCTTGTTAATTGTCATCTTGAAATCTTCTTACTCTTGCCTTGTTCACCCACATGTTGAATACGTATCTGGTTTCCAAATTTGTAACGTTCTTATAATTTTTCCACCCTTATGAATGTAAGCTATAATTACTAAGGTT